TCAGTCCCTCACAGAAGAACTAACGCCTTCTCCTCCTTCCCTGACCCCATCTCCCGTCTCCCTGCAGAGCCGTGTCGTCCAAGGCAAGGAACCTGCCCACCTCATGAGCTTGTTTGGCGGGAAGCCCATGATCGTCTACAAGGGAGGCACCTCCCGTGATGGCGGCCAGACTGCCCCTGCTAGTACCCGCCTCTTCCAGGTCCGGGCCAACAGTGCTGGAGCCACCCGAGCCGTTGAGGTAATGCCCGGCCTGAACTGCCGGGAGGGACTAGCTGCAGGTCAGCCAATTGAAGCCTCCCAGGCTGGACAGGCCAATCTCTGGGCATACGGCTCTGAGGTTGGGGAAGTGTGTCAAATGCTTTCTTGTCTTATCAGAATGGAATGTAGGAGACCTCTCCCTGTTTCAAGGATGCCCAATTCCCCTTCCACACCTTCCACAATGGGCTCCTCACTACCTTCTAAGTTATCCTTTCTGCACAATCTGAACCCTCTACCTGGTGTGTGCCAACTGGCTACACCATTGTGGAGAGTACAGGCTTGGAGATAACCCCCCTACCCCCCGCCCCCTAGGCTGAGCACCTAGACGAGAATAAGGTGATTACCTCCTTTGTTCTAAACACTCAACATCGGTTAATGCAGTCCGGAATCCGAGAGCCCCCTTGGCTAGCCACAAGTGTATTCGTAACTCAGGGGGTCCACTAAGGCCTCCAGTGTTCTAAGCCTGCCGTCTCCATTGGATAGAGCCTGTTCCTCCAAGATCCCACCTCAGAGCTGGTCCTCCTGTGGGGTCTCCTGGACTATGAGGAGGGGGCTGGAGGCTCGTTGTCCGGTTGCTGACTGGGTGCTGTCCCTCCTAGGTGATCCCTAAGGCTGGTGCGCTGAACTCCAATGACGCCTTTGTCCTGAAAACACCCTCAGCCACCTATCTGTGGGTGGGTACAGGAGCCAGCGAGGCTGAGAAGACAGGAGCCCAGGAGCTGGTGAAGGTGCTGCGGGCCCAGCCCTTGCAGGTGGCGGAAGGCAGAGAGCCAGGTAGGACTCTGGATGGAATGCCGGCCGCTCTTTGGAGACTCCAGCTGTTGGGCTTCCCTTCCTTCTTCTACCCTGGAAAGCTCGATGCCCTTGTCCCTCCTCAGTGTCTCCCACCCAGTGGATTAAAATAAGGGCTGTCCATGAGAGGGTGGCCTGCTCAGTGTGGGCGTTCTAGGACTGCCCGGAAAGATGTGGGCAGGGCGAACAGCTCTGCTGAGCAGCATTCTCTCCTCTCTCGACAATCTCTGTGTTCAGAAACGCCCCCAACTTGCTCCGTTTCCAGAACGTCAGGTCAGGACTCCTTCTGCAGCAGCCCTCGGTCTTGCTGCTCTCCTCCCCATCCCTCCCCCCCTTGGTGTTCAGAACAAACGGGGAAGGGAAGCCTGCTCTAGGAGCCCCAGGAGCTGCTCACTGCAAGGCTGAAGGTCTAAGTTCACCCCTAAGCACTTCCCCAAAGCCAGCCCCTGAAAACCCAGGAAGCATGCTTCTACCTTAGTGCCTATGGGCTCAGTGATGACTGATTGAGCTTGGTGTAGATCCATCCACCCTGTTCAGTAGCACCTTCTAGGAGGTGGAACATGTTTATTATCTGCCATGTCCAATGGTCAAGTTTCTCGAGTGGCAATACCTTGGATCTTGGCTTTGCACGGGAAAGAATTCATGCCGAAGCCTGTTTTGTAATCCAAGTGGGTTTTTATGAAGGACGGGAGAAGTTTCTGGTTTTACAGTCTTGAAAAGGGTACACCCTATTTCAGGAAAGTGTGGCAAGCTGCGTGGAAGCCGTGCTGGGGTGCACAACTGGACACGGGTACCCTCATGAAACAGTGCCCCCACAGGTGCAGAATGGAGGCCAGAGAGCCAGCAGCCCCAGCTGGGACAGGAGAGTCAGAGCGCAGGGCACAAGAGAGCGTGCCCACCCAACCCTCCACCCTAGCAGGCTGGGGCAGGAGCATGTGGGGGCACGCCCAGGGAGTGTGTGTGCGCCCAGCCTCCCACCTGCCTGTGACTAGGAGCAGGGTGAAAAGGGGACAGCTTTTCTGCCGCCAGGGTATTTCAAAGCTCTGGCTGGGGAGGTGTGGTTGAAGGCATTGGTTGACCTCAATGGCTGAATTAAGCCCACCTGGGTGATGTCACGAGCCTGGTTTGGACTGCTCAGGTGTACCTTCCACCTGGCCGGGGGCTTGAATTTGAGCATGCTCAGTTCGGGTCTTCATTGGTGTCTAATGGTCACCTGATTTCCTTCCCACACTCTTTTATGGGGGCCTTTGCAGGCATGGGCAGGACACCCTTCTGTCCCTGTATCTAGCCACCTAACACGATGTGGTTGTCACCAGCCACATGTGAAGAGCCCTGTAGTGCTGTGGTTAAGCACTGGCCTGAGACTCGAGAGATCTGAGGTTCAAAACCCACCAGCTGCTGCAGGATTCTTCTGTAAAGATGGCAGCCTTGGAAAACATCCGGGCCGTTCGGGGGGGCTCAGCCCTGTAGGGGCACTGTGCAGCAGGGCTGACACATTCACGGTGGGCTTCAGACACATGTGGCTCTTGAACACTTGAAATATGACCGATAAACTGAGGAACTGAATTTTTATTAAGTTTAAAGAGCCACCTTGGACAGAGCAGGTGTAGTGGAAAAGATGGGGGATTGGAGTCAGCCAAGAGGTGCGTCCCGATCTTGCCACTTACTCGCTGTGCGACTTGAGCGAGTTGGTTAACCTCTCTGAGCCTCATTCACCTCATTTGTTGAGTGGGGATAATTAGTACTCCTGTCAGCATCTGCCAAGGGTGCCCTCTCTGGGCCTGTTTTCATCACCTTCTAATCCTCTCGGGCCCCTTTGACCTGTGAGTCCTGGGAATGGAAGGCCGAGTGGTGCAGTGGTGGGGTGGGATCTGGTTGGCTTGGGCAGGGTTTCCCAGGGCCTGATGACCAGTGTGGCATCAGCCAGGAACTGCCATGGTCTCTCCTCACAGACAGCTTCTGGGAGGCCCTGGGTGGGAAGGCTGCCTACCGCACGTCCCCGAGGCTGAAGGACAAGAAGCTGGATGCTCATCCTCCGCGTCTCTTTGCCTGCTCCAACAAGATCGGCCGTTTTGTGGTGAGAGGCCCGGTGGAGCTCACCCCTTCTGCTTTCCACTGGGGCGGCGCGGGGCAACAGTCTTGCAGGCATAGTATCCAGGAAGGAAGGAGGGAGCAGGGCTCCAGGAAGCACCCAGGGGAGGGGCAATGCCTTGTGGGTGCGCCTTCATTAACCCCTTGCATTCCTCTCCAGATCGAAGAGGTGCCTGGAGAGCTCATGCAGGAAGACCTGGCCACGGATGACGTCATGCTCCTGGACACCTGGGACCAGGTGGGCGGAAGCTCTGGGTCCTGAGGAAATGGGGACAGCTAGACTCCCCGCTCTGGGATCAGTTGTCAGAAAGACGTAAAGGAAGCCAGGCTGAGCGTTGCCGGGAATATCCCTCCTCCTCGCCTGCAAAATGGGACTGAGATGGGAGAGTCACCTGGCAAACTGCAGAGCACCGTGTACACACACACACACACACACACACACACACACACACACACACACGAAAGTCAGCAGCCTCGGGGTGTGGGGAGGGGGG